TGAATTATTTTATGTGAAGTTCTATTCACAGATGCCAGCGGCATCTGGCTCGAAATGCTCGGATCCGGTGAGTTAGTACCGATAGTTGAACAGAGACCTGAAAGGTGGCATGAACCGTAAGGAGAATTCCTGATGGTGTAGCATGAAAGAACTTTTCTCCTTATCCTTCCCTTAAAATCAACACTGCCTGCTTCGATCCTTTTCTACTGTGGACCTTATCCCTGTCCTTCTTGTGAATTTCACACTTTTCTTAGCTTCCTATTTTCACCATTCTCGAGTTGAGTAAATGTTGCTATAACAATGTCGAACGAAGTAAGCTGTTTGCCCTCGCTTTCGGCCCCATCCCTTACCCAATATAACTTACCTGAACTAACCCTACGGTTGCCATTAGACAATGAACGGCAGATATCCCTGGCGCTCTAACCAGCCGGGGTGCCCTCCACGACACTTATTTGATTCATTTGTGTATTGTCTTCTCCCTGCATTCGGTCTTACTGATGGACAAAGAGCGAATTTCGGAAACTTGAAGATTTTTTTAGTGTTCGTGTACTTTCAAGTCCGGGAAGTGCACTTGTGTAGCCCCGTAGTAGTAGCTAATCTAGTGAATAAATGTTCCATTTACGGATTTTCCCTTGTATGTCCGATCCTTTAATTCCTCCCTGGTCAAACAGTTAGTTAGAAAATTAACACCTCCTTCGTGAGTAGGATAAAAAATACGTATTAACTGATAACCTTCAGCAAACCGCCCTTCTACGAGCTCCAAGCACCACGTCTGAAATTGTGGCCAGTGTACTTGTGGGTGAAACCGAATCGGTTCGATTAGACGCTAGCCAAGAGGCTGTTCCGGAACCAGCCGAGACCAAGAATTCGCAAGAGACACCGTCGACAGCCACGACAGCTGAATCATCTCCGGCGGAAGCTGATGAAGGTGCGAAAGGACATGGAAATCATTTTCGTCATCTCAATGTGTTTCTTTCAAAGAAAGTTATCTTTTATAGATGCCCGGGTAGTTACCGTACCATCCGGAAATGATCTCTTCGCTGAGAACTTGATTCTACGACAATGTATAAACGAGACAAGTCAGATGCAGAACGACCTCACCCAGGTATGTAGGATTGTAGTCGGTCAGCCCACTATAACCCTTGTGCGCGATCGTAAGGTATATGTATTGTCAGGATGTTGAGAAGATGTGGCAATTGAAAACGGAACTTGAAAATGCGGTCGAAGCCCTCAAGGGTGAAATATGGTCGCTTAATGGCCAGCTCAAAGCGGTGAGTTCAGTTGTTATGGCATAATTTTGATGTGAAGAAAAATACGAGGGTAATGGAACGTATTCAGTCTATCCTGGATCGAGAACAACTGCAAGATCGAGTGGTAGAATTGGATTCATCGCTTGCAGCAGAGAAGAAGAGAGCCGATGCTCTTGATTGTGAACTGTCAGAGCAGGTACGAATAGCCGTTTGGGTTATGGAAGACCCTTGGAAGCCTCGCCTTCTCGTGAAATTTGTTATTTTACTTCTGACCCCTTTTCGTATAGTGTCTTTGCTTTATGTTTTCTTATAGACCGAGCTTACCGAGAAAGCTTCCCGTCAAGCAGCAGAAGCTGAGAATGAAAGCAACCGTCGCCTGGCTGAATGTCTCGAGATGGAGACTCGAAGGTTCGAAATATTTATTAATCCTTCGAGTGTCCAGGATTCAGGTCTTAAAGGTCTCGTTTAGGTCCACGGTGACCAATCCCTTTTGGGATGCGGCACGCATTCTACTTCCATTTGTACATTAGTGGCATTTGAATGCGATGTGGCCTATACAATGACTTGCGGGGGCCAGCCGATGTTCAAGTCAGTGTTTTTATCCTCCCAGACAAGTCTGGTACCAATTAACCGACCCCGGAGGGATGGAAGGCTTGGTGGCGGGTTCGATCCGACAGCTAACTCGCCAGATCGTGCTCTTGAGAAACGGCGCCACTTACTGCTATACCAACTCTTCCCCGGGATTGAAATATAATAATTTGTATATATGAGAGATCTGATTACAATTCACTCGCCAAGAACTTACTAAAGTGTACCCATTTCCAGAGAGCAGGTGGAAAAGGCATATGCTCAACTTAAGCGAATACTACAGTCAACTGCAGGCCGCCTACAATGTGATCTATGCCAAGTTGAAGCAAATCGAAACGGAAAAGGCCGTTGTTGAGAAGGAACAGCAGGTAATTCAAGTGACTGTAACCGAGACAAGAAATTCTGGACTTACATCTATTCAAAAATCTAGAGAAAATATAGGTGGTTCGCTCTGATAACTAACAAAATATGCATTTCAAAAGCGGTTGAACTTGCTTTGATGTGAAAGTTTTGGAAAAATCCCAACTCCTCACTCCATAATCCTTAAGCTATCTCTCGATGTGAACTGTTATATTTGCACGCACTCGAAAATGAGCTGTGGAGGGGATATCCATGCGCTTTCCTCTACAAGGTCATGGTGTCATTCAACCTTCTACTTCTCCAGCTTAGTTCCACCCCTCTCCACAAAATCCACACCTCTACCAGTCCGTCCTGC